ATATATTTTGTTCTATAAAACTCTATATATTTATATAAATATATATGAACATATAAAATATTAAAAATTTCTACAACTAAAAATATAAATATGAGAATACAAAATAATTTATTTCTTTTTTAAGTATTTTTTTAATTGTAATTAAATATTTTAAAATTATAAACAATTGTCTATATACATATGTACTATACATATAATAAATAATAAAGGACTCTTAATATTTAAAAAACAATAATAGGTAGGAAGAGACACAATATAATTAATAAAGTTCAAAATTTCGACATTAAAAATTTAATTTTGTTAGTTAATTTATATGTTAAATAATTTCGAAATTTTCGACACTTTGTTATTTTTGTAAATAATTTTAAAATGTAATAATTATTATAAAATCTATTTAGCTCGATTTAGACCATTTTAATCATTTAATTCACAATATAATTGTTTTGTATCCTGTGTCATTAATGTATTTTAGTTCTTAACCTCTTATACATTTTAAATTATTATCTGACTCTTATGTACCTTTTTCAACCTATTATTGTTTTTTTACTATACATCTTGGATTGAAATTAATAAAGCATCAGTTTTATTAAATTAAATTTTTTGTTGAAAAAAAACGTTTAAAAAATGTCTAATATTGTCTAGTGAAGATTTATAAGTAATTATGGATAAATCAAATTTATTGCAGGACACCCACAAGTGATAAAAGTAGTGCAAAGTACACCTAATAAAGCATTAAGTGGTATTGTTAGCACAACAAATGCAGGTGGCCTTAAAGTGTTTAAAGCTCCTAATCAAGAATCGCAGGTACTTGCTTTAATTTCATATATTTTGTTTATCACAATTGCAGTTATTAGTTTAATATATAAAGGTTATATAGTATTAATACAACTATGAAAAAGGAATGCTCTATAAATAAACAAATTTAATTAAAAAATTACTCATTATGTAGAATATTTCCAATCTGTCTCAGTGTGTGTGATAATACTAAAAATTGGATTTTTATAAATATTATGTATGTATCGTTCTCATTAGGTTTTATCATCGAATACACCAGTTCTTAGGACTATTAGCTTGCAGAATCCATCTACACCTGGTCAAAGTATGATTTTTTTTTCTAAATAAATTTTTTTTTATATAATTATAAATATATTACTATTTGGAAATGTCTTTAATTTAATCATATAACTATAGGACTTGTAACAATACCTTTACAAAATACTAAAATGGCGACATCAAAAAGTGGAGAAACTATGATGACCAAGACCATACAGCTAACTTCTGCACAAATGGTGAATATATTTTGTAATTTTATATGAATAAGTAACGATTCAATATGAAAATAAAAAAATTTTGCAGTAAACATTTTAAAATACAAATATTTTATTTTAGAGCGATATAAAACAAGCTATTGCATCTCAACAACAACAACAGCAGCAACAACAACAACAGCAGCAGCAGCAGCAACAACCGCAGCAGCAGCAGTCTAATACTTCACAACTTGTTAAAGACGCCAATGGGAAAACTTTTATCAGTCCAATATTAGATCATACTGGATCTAGAAAAAGGCAGGATGTAGAAAGTGGCGACTTTGTGCCTGAGTAATGCAATGAGTCTATCATACATGGATACACACACACACACACACACACAGAGAGAGAGAGAGAGAGAGAGAAGGAGGAAGGGGGGGGCGGGACAATGACAGATTTAGCTTTTCACAATTAAGGGAGGAAAAGAGAGAATTTAAAATACACATTTTAAATAAAATCATTTTAAATACCGACCGACCGCTGACTGATACGACTTATTTAAAATAGAAATTATAAAATAAGTTTTGGAAAACTTATAATAATAAAGTTTAAATAATCCTTTAATCTCTTTTAGTAAGAATATGTATTTTTTAAATAACTTTGTTTTTTTTAAATAAGATCGAACCCTGTATATTAGTATGAAATAATTTGACGTTATATTACTTGAAATAAACTAAAACTCAATTAGTATTTTGTCGCGGAATTAATATAAACAATTGTGCTATATGTATACTCTACATCTAATTATTGGTCTATTCCATTTATATCTTTTATTTCTTTATTATAGTAAGCGAAGAAAAGCAGAAAAGGTTGGGAAAGGATTGAGACATTTCTCAATGAAAGTCTGTGAAAAAGTAAAAAAGAAAGGGACTACTTCTTATAATGAAGTAGCGGATGAATTGGTTGGCGAGTTTACTAATCCTGCTCATATAAATTCTTTGACGGATCAGGTATTTATCTTGTAATTTATCTGCATGTTATAATATGATACGAATTTAGATAAGAATAAATTTAATTAAATAAGAGAAATCTTGTATTCTCGGTCGAATCGAATCGCAGTATTTAAATATATCTTGTGTGAATTTGTATACATATCTGATTCTGCGTACTGCGCGCCAAAATTTTTTTTCGGTCTTAAAACGCATCTATGAGTAAAACCAGAATAATAATATTACTTATTAAATTAAACAAGCAATTTCATAATGTTTGATGTTGATAAGCATTTTTTACAAGAATATTCATCGTCATTTGTTAATAAAAATCTAAAAACTGAATAACTTATTGCGCGAAAAATGTTATTTTGGCTAAGATTCGAACTTGGAATTTCCGACTTTCGGGATGGATATCATACCAATTTGATTACCGAGACTTCGGTAATATTTGTCGCAATCATCAATAATTAGAAAAGATCGTAATGTTTTAAGGAGACATGTGATCCGCAAACAATTTGATCCACATATTAATTATTAACTTATTTTAAAATATGCTCAATTGATCGTTAATCATATTATTTAATTATTTAATTGAATGGTTTTTACTTTCTTTTCAGCAATACGATCAGAAAAATATTAGAAGACGCGTATACGATGCTCTAAACGTGTTAATGGCAATGAATATCATTTCCAAAGAGAAAAAGGAAATCAGGTGGCTCGGCCTGCCCACTAATTCATTACAGGAATGTGTAGCATTAGAAAAAGATAAGAAGAAGAAAATTGAGAGAATCAAAGCTAAAACGCAGCAATTACACCAATTAATCCTCTCTCATATTTCTTTTAAAAACTTGGTTGAACGTAATCGTTTAAACGAGAGTCTCCGTGGGGCACCGAAACCTAATTCTGCCATACAGCTGCCATTCCTTATTGTGAATACCAGTAAAAAGACTGTCATAGATTGCAGCATTTCAAATGACAAGTATGTCAAATAAATAAAGATTATGAGATAATTGATAAATATTACGTATAAATTTTAAAGGAGAGAGATATTAAGCCGATTTTTTCTTTGTTACAGAACCGAGTACCTGTTTAATTTTAATGATAAGTTTGAAATTCATGACGATATCGAAGTTCTAAAACAGATGGGTTTAGCTTTTGGTAAAAAAAAAATACCGATTTTTTTATAATGCTATAATTAATCACTATTTTTTTTTATTTTGCTGAAATATGCTATAAATTTTTGTGAATGTATAAATTGACATGTAAAATATTTTTCTAGGACTAGAAAAAGGGGAATGCACTGAAGAAAATTTACAAAAGGCAAAATTTATGGTTCCAAAATCACTCGAGAAATATGTAGAACGTGCGTGCTCTCTGTTATACACAGTATTTATATATATAAACACGTGTATTTATATTCAAATTTTAATTCGCTCGTTTAACAAGATCGATTATTGCAGAGTTAGCATCAGGGGATTTAGAGAAGTTTATTCCAGTAACTATTCCTGGTCCAAGTACATCGATGGAGGATTTAGATATCAAATTGGAAGGTTCTCGACCACCGTCGTCGTCACATACTTCATTGTCAGAAGATCCTTTATCGCCACCATCTCAGTACTATTCTGAGGAAGAGGACGACGAAGAAGAAAGCGACCAGGATGATCAGGCTGACAGCGATCTTGAAGTTAACTAGCACTCCGAATAACTCTTCAAAGGCTAGACTCAGGGTTTGTATGTTTACCCTCCCTCTCCTCTCCCCTCCTCCCGTTCATTTATGATATACTTTTTACATGTGTGTATATATAAAAACGTTGTGCCTCGTACCATATAATATTATACAATATTTAGCTGTAGCAATTATTATTTCATATTAGTGACACATTAATATATTTTAGTAATAAACGTATTTAAAACTTCAGAATATCAGTCCGCGTTAAGTTACAGTTAAAGGGACTTTGCTTCTGAATTTTAGGATACTCGCCACTATCATCAGCGATATGCCAACATTAATAATATCGTCGTTGTTGCCAATATCGTCTTCACCCCGGTCGCCAGTTTTTAACATATATCGAACAAGGATAAGAGTTTATAATTATCGTGAGTGGAATGTAAATCTGTTGAAGTAAGAATGGTCAAAATGGAAATATGTTGATTGGGGCCAAGGAGAAAACGTAACAATTAATTGGACTGATTGAATTGGCAAATCTAAGTGGCTCTTTTTTTGTATCAAGTAATAAAATAGTACGATGCACGCGCATACGAAACGATCAGAATAAACAATTGAATGACTGAATGGGGTGCTATATTTTAGTTGTGCATTATCATGCACTTGCAAGTTTTATGACTAGTGCGTCTATGTATTATAAATGATAATCTTATAGTATCATAATCTTATTATGTGTGCGCGCGCGCGCGAGATATATTGACCAGTACTCATTTTCTTATGGCACGTTTATAATAACAATTGTCTGTGGTAAACAGTAAAATGAAGTATGATAGAGGCAGGCGCACATTTGACTCGAATTAAAAATACAAATAAATTGTAATAATGTTATAATATGAAGTTTGTAGTTTGTGGTTAGTCTTTTGAGAGGAAAGGATACATATTGAATAACAATACTATATGTAAGAGTTTGCAGTAATTTTTTTACAGCAAACTTCAAAAATGAAACATTTTTCATATCTATTATATATACAAATATAAACACATATTATAGATTTAATAGTTGCGTTCAACAGAAAGAAATTTGAAACTGTCGCATAATTTTTTTTGTCTTGAATATTTAATTCTTTTCAGTATAATGAAAGCGTAGTGTATTAAGTTAATATTATCATACACATATATAAATATTGTATTATTTTTTTATATTTATTCAAAGTATCAAAAATAATAATACATCATATATGTATATATATATATTGACGATGACAGCATTGTGCTGAAAAAGTTATATGCAGCATCAGCGAGACAAGAAAAATCATAGATCATTGAGTGGTAATCGTAAAATATGAAATGCCATTTTCTGTTGAACGCAACTGATATACAATGTCCATTGATTCCACTGTGCCCATGTTTTTACATGGATCTGTGAGAACAAAAAATCTTCTGCTTCAATGCTAAGTTACTTGCAATCTGTACAAAAGCACCGTGTAGTTTAACTTCTAGAAACTCTGCTTTACTCCAAGTCATCATCATCGTAAAGATCATCAAAGTCTAAAAAGAAGCAATTATTTCAATAAATTAACCGTACATTCTGTTAATTTGGATTATTGTTTACACGAAAAAATATGTTTATGATCTTTTTATGAAATATGTAAAAATATTAAAATTAAATAATATTTAATATACCATTGAAATCTTCTAAATAAACTGCATTTTGAAAAATATTTAGGTTTTTAGAAAAAGGTTAATTTTCTCTGAATTTGGAGGGGCTAAATTTATAATAAATAATTTAATATACCATTGAAAAATTCTGAATGGACAGCTTTCTCACTAGCTGTAAGATCCACTAATAACCTACTACCTCCGACCTGAAATTAATATCGTGTGAAAACATTGCATAAAATTACAACCGAAAGAAATCGTACCACGGGTTTACATAGGATGCGTTCCGTTTCACGCATGATGGGCATACTGTATCGTTTATCCTTATTGCTAACCAAATGTTAAACAAGAACAATTGACGCACCATGTGCGAAACGAGATTTAATATGTAACGTGTCGCACAATATTGACACATACATATTTCTAACCTTATCAGAGCTGTGTATACATAATATTACCTCCTCTAATTCAACATACGGTCCAGCTCCTTCGGGAAACATTTCATCAGCCACAAGCGTTGGCTTCATGTTAAATGAATTGATTTACTTATATGTACTTGATTCTTTGTCGCGACGAGAGAATTTAGTTTCCTAATCGCGAAGACGAGTACCAAACATGTGCGCGCGCAATGAACTGCGTTGTGATCAACATATGATCCACGTACGTGACGTAACGCGATACCGATGCAAGGTAATTTGTCGCGTGCAACCAGAGAACGCATGCATGTCTGAAAGAGATCCAAAAGATATTTTGAAAGGAGCTAGACGTCTTTCGGATTTTATCCGAAATGAAATCTTTTGTAGATAATCATAAAGACGTCCTTAAGACATCATCAGGATAATGTCTTTGGGATGTCATAAACCGACGCAAAATGACGTCTTAAACATGTTTTCATTCTGATATTCTAAAAAGTGTTATGAATTTTAGCACGCTTTTATGATATCTTATAAGACATCTCAATGTTCTCTGGGTAAAAGATATTATAATTATTACGTTTAGTCGGTAATACAGAACGACTTAAACTAAACAAATTCAACAGCTATCATTTACTCCATTTCCTACAAATCGTAACAATCCTCTCCTGTCATATATCTTGTAATCAAAATCATGACTAACGATTGCAAAGATAATGAAAACATTTGTACGAGTTAATTTATAGGCAATAAAACGACCTGGTATAATATTTATCGATATATCTAATATGCATTCGATTGTAGTGTATAGAATATTGCGTGGCGGCATTTTCAAGATCACTTAAGGGATGACGCCTCTATCTATAATCAGAAATGTAGAAAAAATCAATTTTTTGAAAACCACATTTTTTAAAAGTATATGATATGCTAAATGGTCCTGGATTAGATGACTGTGTGAGTTGCAAAATATTTAGTGTAAATTGAAACTTCAGACGGGTTTTACTCAAAACTGCTTTCAAAATCGATGAGCAAGATATCTTAAAAAGAGATCTATATATGCACCAATTATCTCTAACTTTTGTACTTTCTTTAAACATCAGAATCTAGTCTCTAATCGAAGAATTTTTTTTACGTGCATGTTTTATTTTATAGATAAAAAAATGTTTATTTTTTAAATGAAAATTATTGGTTCATCGTAACTTTGAACAGCTAACATTTTATTGGAATTTATAGAAATATCAATTAATAATCAAAGACTAGATTTTGATTAATGATTGGCAGTGAAATATGATGCTATCACGAGTCCCCGTACAAGTAATTTATAATATTATGTAACTTATAATATTATAATTTATAATATTATGTAACTTTGTAACAGTCGTAATTTATCTCTGTGTCTGTTTTATTCGATTAAATTGTAATGACTATATAATATATGAGACAATATATTTGATCCCAGTTGTCAAATTTAGCGAGGTTCCGTAATTTTACAAGTGAATCCCAATTTTGACTGCATTAGATTTAACTTTTTTATTTTTGCACTGCGCTGAAACTCGTCGGCTTTTTTTTTTTGTCGCTTTTGATGCCAAACATCAAACAGACCTTTGATTTTAAGTTCCAACAGCGTGCACTATAATTGAGCTACAAAAAACAGACCTATATCCGTTATAGGTCCACTGAATTGGTACGGACCTTTAAAAGAGACCTTTATAATTCAGTCTCTACAGATGCGTCGTGTCGTAAAGAGATCATTATACGAACGATCGCCAAGCAGAATGAAAAGCGTAATCGAGTATCCGCAACGTATATATAAGAGTAAAACGCTCGCGTAACAGAATAAGGAAGAAAAAAAGGGAGAAGAGGGTGGCGAAAACGGGGGAGAACGCGGGCGAGAATAGAATCGGGTTGCGCGTCGCCCGGTGCGTCGCGATGCGCGCGGTGCGCGCGCAGTAGTCGATCGGTTAAAATTCACCCTTGGCTCGTGCCGCCCGCCACGAAAGCCAGCAAAAGCGATACCGCGACGCAAGTCACGAGGCAGACGTATATTAGTTTCTCTCCGGTGCCGTGCTTGTCCGTATATTATTCTCTCTCAGCTTCAATCGGCTCGGATCGAAAGATCGCGCGCCGAATCGTCGCGATCGCTTTTCGTCCCACCGTCACGCGCGCGGGTTAATTGCTCCTTCGGATCGGATTAATTTTCGAGCACGACCGGGAGCGACTTTTTTCCACCTACCACTGTCGGCGATCAGGGTCGACTGCCCACCCAGCAGCGGATTATTTTTCTCGCACGTATATCATGCAGCTCGCTCCGGTTTTTTAGCATCGATTCCAGAGGCTGAGAGAACGAGCATTGGTAAGTGCATATATATAGCGTCGCGCGGCGACGCGACGTTTATCTGCGCGCTTTATCAGCCGTGTATAGCGTCTCGAGAAGTAGAAATTGGATACCAAAATGTACCGTGCACGCTCTATATGCGAATACACGAGCGCGTACGGAACACCTTCCTGCGCGCCGCGGATCAATAACAGCCGTTGCGGTTATGGTAACGCGACCAGCTGATCCGCGGGGTTTAATGTTATTTACCTCTTACTTCTCTTTCCACGCACGCACAGTATATAAGTATACCAATTATTGTATTCCGTGAATACAGGATTCTATATATGTACATTCTGTAATAGCATTCTATATATCTGCGCTATTTGACGCGAGCAAATGCGGGGATGGCAGTCGATTGTTTTTGCTCGAAAATTATAAAATATAAATTTTGATGGATAGGAATGAATAATATTTGTGAGTAAAGGATTTTTTAACAACTCCGCTTCACTTTACCTACGTATCAACTGCAACCACGTTTGAACTCTCACTTGCCCTGGATTATTAGGAATTTATTTGTTTTTTTAATCAAGAGAGTCCGAAAGAAGATTTCGTTTTTATTGATAAAATATAATATTTTGTAATATAATAATTTGTACACAAAATATCCTACATGTGTAAGTAATATACTTGACTATTGACTCAAAAAGTATAGCAAACGTATTTCATTCATTCGTAGATCCTAATATTAGCTTAATGTTCTTTTCTTTTTTCACAACGTTTCGTTCTCACGACGTATAAGAATGAGACGATAGAGGAAACAGTTTATACATATGTTACATATTTTTTGTTATCTATTATTATGTCAACTATACACGTCTAAATTATACACAAACTTTATTACGGAAGAGATTTAATCATTTTTTTTTTGTGTTTAGACAGTATTGTTAGGAATTACTTAAGAAAAAGTTGCAAGAAGAATAAAGAGCGTTCAGACTTGCATAAAATTTAAAATGAGTTTATTTACAAATACTATTAACATGTGTTTCTTATGTTTGGCAATTTAAATAACCTATGACATACTTAGATATGTTACATGTACATTTTACCCACATTCTATGTACATTACATCTTTATACTGTGAATATATTAATTAATACATCGCTGAATATAGACCTGATTAGATAGATGACTCCTATTATAGTCCCGTGCAATTTGCGTCCCGATGCTTTAAGCCAAGGCACACGCAACGCGTACGCACATATATAAGATACAGCCGCTCAAAAATGCCTTTCAATAACCAATAGAATCTGTACATGCATACACACACACATACAATATATGCATGTATAGATTCTGTTGGTGCAATATCTCATTCTCGTTCCATATATATGTATATATTTTACGAGATTATTTTGTAAGCGTAAATAACGTATGTATCCGTTTCAACTTAATGAGTTTCTCATAAAGTTGCCAAGACCAATGTTCATATTGCAACTTTTAATTTCTAGCGTTTACTTTTAGATATATATGTATGTCTATCTTTATTTTGTGTGACATACTTGTATCAAAGATTAAGATCCGTATTCGGAATGCGTTTTTATTGATAAAAGCGCGCTTTTATCTCTGAAATTCTATAGTACGCGTAAACTATAGCATGTTAGAGCGCTAACATCGTCGTAAGCACGTTCTGAATACGGGCTTAAGTGTGCAGTCGCCGTGTGTTTTCGGAAAAAATATTTTCCTAAAGAATGCACTATTTTGAATTTAAGCAGCGTGTAACACATTTCTAATAGATTGGAATTTTCAGTCAGGTGAATTTAAACGCAATTATATCCAAGTAACATGTAATAAAGCAAAGCACACACGCATGCGAATGTGATGCATCGAGTGATCCTGATGTATGCACCGTCGCGTCGCCAGCATCATTGCAACGCGCGTATATTCCTTTCCTTTTAATCTGGATTAGTGTGCCCGATAAATACACATAATATTCGAATAAATGAATAAAAATAAATGTCAATATCTATTCGAATGCACTTCTTTTTTATTCATCAAGAAACGAATAAATACTTTTTCATTCCATTTGATTGAATATTTTTGAAATGTGATTACGAATATTTTTGTTTCCGTATTCACTTCCACTGTATATTGTTCGTACATAACTTGCAAGCTTGCAAGAAAAAACAGAAATCTATTAAAGCAATGAAGGCGACAGAGTGATTCTCCATTAGTGATGCCAGCTGGTAGATTAATGACATGATACGATATACGGCTAAATAAATTGAAGATAAAAGTAATACGTTATCTCAAATAAAATCTATGTTATCTCAAACCTTCATTTGAGACTTATGTAAAATTATACGTCATATCAATTAATTAGATACTTATAAATAAAAAAAATGTATTGTTTTCAAAAATATTTGTCAAAATTTCTAAATTTTTCTCTCTCATCAAATCTGAATATTACAACGACAAAAATAAATAAAATTCGTCATTAATTTTTACTTAAAATCATCAAAGTTCCGGTTATAGTTAAGGGACAATAATTGCTTATCGGAGCTTTCTTTATCAGTTTATATTTTACTTGAATATTTTGAATAAATATGAATACTCGTTAAATAATCATAGTTTTTGTAAATAAATATTTTCGAAAACTCAAAATTTTGAATAAATATACAATTTGTAGCCCAGTTACAAATTTTTGTATTCATCGGGCACACCAATCTGGATACTGCACCGTTTAACATGCATGTTAATTAAAAGATGATCTAAATAATAATAAAATTGGCTGAAACCACATTAATTTATTGGAAAACTATAAGATTCGGTAAATAAACTCGATCTCATCGGAATAGAAATTAGTTAAATGACTATGGCTTGTAATTCATTTGAGGAAAGTTACGCTCGTCTTATGTACAATATATATA